AAATGGAATGCGCTGTGTTATTACCAGGACCATCGACCGCAGTATTACCATCTTCGTGCCAGCATGTTAGCCTACGCGCACATTAACCTACTCGCAATACTCTTGCGGTTTGACAAAGAAGACATTCCACGCGTAGCCACGGATTCCCTATACGTAAAGCCCAGTGTGTTGGAAAAGATGAAGGAATTCTACACTGCCGATGAACTCGCAGAAAGTGGCCAGTGGCACGTCAAAGATGAAGAAATAAAAGCCTGGAGGGCACGCGTATAATATCACGGAGAACACACCCGTGGTTCCACTACGCCGACGGAAGAACCACTGCCCTCAGTTGCCGACCCTATTTCCTACCAACGATTCTCTTATCTTTACGGTACGGGAGGCAGCGGTAAGACGACGCGTGTGTTAGAACTCTTTCCTAAGATAAAGGTGCTAACGCCAACGCACCGCTTGGAAAGAGAACTCTGCGAAATGGGCCACGACGCACAAACCTACCACAGCTTCTTTCGTTGGAATGGCCAAAAATGGGTGCCGGAAGCAATCCATGACATACCTCCGGTGATACTTTGGGATGAGATTTGCACCGTTCCTTTAGAAATTCTCAAAGAATTCGTAGAATTCCTAAGAGGGAAATGTCAAGTAATATTCGCCGGAGATCCCTGCCAGCCTCCTCCAATAGCCGGAGAAATGCCCCACGAATGGTTAAAAGATCTAGTAGACCATGCGGAGGAAATTAACACAGATTACCGCAGCAAGGATCAAGTAAGAAGCCTGAAAGCGGAATTAAGGGGGCTCAGTCACGCCGAGCAATGCAAGACACTGCGCAAACGCGTACGAGCGAAGTCCTACGAGGACTTTCTATACGCCTGGCATCCTAAAGATCTGGTGCTGAGCAGCAAGCGCGCAGCACAATCTCGCATAAAGAAAGACTTACTCAAAATATACCAAGAGCGCTTCCCTACACATCCCGTGCCCGTTTGTTATAAACCCCACGACACCCGCATGCAGCGCCGCGACGTTTACGTACCCGGTACCGACATCCAACTGCAGAACGCAGTAACGCACGATCAAGCCTGGGTGCCCATAGAAAAAGTAGAAAGAATTACCTCCCATCCAGACTGGCGCTTGGGCTATTGCATGACAGTCCACAGCGCGCAGGGGCTTACCATAAAGGAAACCTTATGGATCATAGACCAGCGGCTGTGTTGGAGCAACCTTATCTATACCGCCGTAAGCCGTGTAGAATATGCCAAGCAACTAACAAGAGCCTGGGGTCCGCAACTGCGTTATGACAGAACCCCCGAGAACGTAGCCAAAGAGAACATTGCTAAGAAACTCCTTCGCTACAAGCGGCACGACGAAGAAAAAAATATGACGTTCGACCTATGTGTAGACGACGTCTATAAGAAAGTGGCAAGGTGTGCCAAATGTAACATACCGCTACTATGGAGGTTTGACCCGAATGACGATCAGCAGTTCTCCGTGGATCGCATAAATAATAAACGCGGGCATTGTAGAGGCAACGTAAGGTTGACGTGCCTAGAGTGTAATCGGGCGCGTGGAGCAGCACTACTCTGAGTCTTTGGGGACTATGAGCAGCTCTTCCTTGACGAATCCGCGACTTGGGCCATTTAGGTAATACAACACGGGTTGCCCTTCCTTGGTGACGGACTTCGAAATCTCATACGTTTCCAGGGACCAGTTAGGATCCGTGGCTCTCTTACTGCCACCTTCGATTTCCCCACGGCTGATAGAGGTATCTGACCACAATGTTGCGGGGGAGCTTTTTTTCCTTCAGTCCGACCGCCCTCGAACTTCTGACGTAGGACGTGTGTTCCACGTGTTTCTTTTTCATAGCATCCTTGGGTTTTATTCCCGTAGCCCTGGCCGCCTCATTGTTCAAAGCCGCGACGACCT